CACCGCCCTTTGCAATGTGGACCGCATGTGACAACATTTGCAGCGTCATCTTCAGCCAGAGGAGTGTCCCGCGGCTTGGTCTGAATCCAACAGCAGTGCTCCATCTGCCACACCCTGTAGCTTCGTCGCTCATCGTGGAGGGCATCCCATTCGTCATCAACGCGGCAGCATTGCATCAGTGTGCCTCTTCTTCAAAACCCCTGCAGGGCTTGTGGAGTTATGTGGCAGGGATGGAGCGCTTCTGCAGGAAACTGGCGGTGTAGCGGTGGGTTTCTTTGCATTTGGAACCAGTTTGATGAAATGCAAGTACATCGGCCCCTTCAGGTGACAGCACCTATTTTGCAGCTTTGCCAATGGATGTGCTGGCGAACACAATCAGCAAATCGCCCTCGCGCTAGATAAGCACCACGTGGAGTGAGGCGCGCCAGAGAAGCGTACCGCGTGGTGCTGTGACGTGCTGCAAATGGGAAGCGCCCAGTGCCACTCCAGAGCATTGATGATAAGCAGTGGTGGTGTCGCTAACTCACGAGACGTGCGTGCCACCGCAGTGATGAGCCGATGAATTCACTGTGCAACGTCCCCACCTCTTTCCACGTCATTTCCATTTGATACACCATGGGTGAGCGTCTGATGCGGCACGCCCAACGAATAGCGGTGGTGACACATAGCGGGGGCCCCCCACAGCGCCAGTGCGCAGAAAGCAGCGGGCACACACGATGCCCATGTGTTCCGGATCACGCATGGTGACGCGGGTACCTCTTCAGATATATATATCCGCGGCATTCGAGTGTAGATGCTCGTCGCGGCAGTGGTAGCCGTCCGATAGAACACTGCGCCATCGTGTGAATCAGCAACGGGGAAAGACCTCGCTGACTTATCGACACACACTAGAGAGAGCCAAGTTGACACATCACTCTGCACAGTAGCATCGAGCAAGGGGGCGACATCTGCTGTCAGTACTGCCATCGTGCTCCATTGAAAGAAACACAGGCAGACAATAATCCCCGAGCAGCATGTAAAGACCGCACAAATCAGATACATAGATGCAACACACTTTCAACCATGAATGTAAAGGATGGGTCAATACTAGAGGTAACATAAAAACAAGTTTTTTTTGGTTGTTCGTCGGAAGTTATCACAGTAGTAACTGACAACGCTCCCTTCGTCATCCGGTTAATGTCAATATCGCTTGCAGTAATAAATAAAATCTTACAATCATTTAAAACGTAATGCTAGAGTAGCACCAAAAGCAGATAGTTTTGCTTGGTTTATGGCCCTCAGACTATATAAATGTTCACATGTATGAAGTCGACAGCTCCAACAAATATTCGATGAGCAGCGCTCTTATTAAGAGCCCACTGCCACGCCGTAAATGGTGGCGCCCGTTCCGAACACGACCATAATAATTCCGGCAAACAGCAGTGCATACGTGAGGATGTAGTGCATCCATCCCACAGACCTCAGCGACCAGCTACCCGCGTACATCATGAGAATAGCGGGGAACATGAATGCCATTGTACCCCCACAGAATGCACCTAAGAAACCAAACACGGTGTTGATATTCGGGATGAACAGGCCGCAGATCAACGCAGCAAACGCAAGAAAGACAGCTGCGATGCAGTGCTTCCAAAAGGGCAAGGTATCAGGGTCCCAGCCCACTGTGTGGTAGACGGCATTGCGACTGGCCATCATGAGAAGCGGGAAAGACGCGCACAGCTTCACCAGCACCCCAACGTACGCCACCATCACCGCTGGTTCTTTCACAGGATCGTACATCAGCAGGACGGATCCGGTCACGCGACTGCCGAAATCAAGATAACCAAAGATGGCCGTCAGGAGGTTCAGAAAGAAGCACACAGCCATCGCGATAGCACAGTAAAGGGTGAAGCGGCTCGCGCTGCGCTCTGCCATGTCCCAGTACACCTCGAACGAGTTCACTTGGCACAGGAATGCAAACAGGAAGACACCAAGCCCATCCAGTGCCTTGTTCCCCGTGCCAAACAGGTGGATTCCGTCGTCCTTAGGGGTACCGGCCACGTGTATATTGCTTGCGTTGTCCGGGAGCCCGTTCATGCACGAGTGCACGATGATCGTAACCACAAAGTACACGATGAATCCCACACCCAGCGTGGAGACGTATCGTAGCGAGTTGATGTGCCGCGGAATGACAAGCGGCAGCATCACTGCGAGAAACAAGAGAGTTGTCAGCAGACGGTTCCCTGACGTTGACTTCCAGTAGTCGGGAGCATCGGTGTTGTCAAGGATGGCGCTAAAAAGATCACCCACACCAATGATAGACGCCACAGAGCTGCCAAAGGTATTTAGTAGACGCATTGCAGCCGTGAAATGGTCAAATCCCGGGCCCAGTAGTGTGCGTGACATGCCCTCATATGTCTTCAAGCTAAATCGCTCCATCTGCACGGCGAGACAGTACAGCGAGTACACGGAGAGAACCACAATGACCATTGGGTAGAAGAGCGCCATGAGAAGGCCGCTGCTGTTTGCTGCAGCAGGGAGGCCTAAGATGCCGGCACCAACACATATAGAGACGAGATTGAAAACAGTGGACAGCAACCCGCCTGGTGGGATTATCTTGGACAGAGCCCCAGGGGCAGAGTCCAAAGGTCCAGACTCCGGTTCGGGGTGGACGGATCTCATTTCCTCTTCTGACGCCTCAATCTCTTCCTCCATCGCCTCCAACGGCAGCAGCAGATTAGCAGTACCCTTGGGCGACAGCGGTGATTGTATGTTGCCTGGGGCACCTCTCAGCATCCGGTGCGCAGCATCCTGCTGGTCAGCAGAGACATTGTTCATCTCCGCAATCTCGCGAGGTGCAGTTCGGGACTCTGCTTCCACTTCCTTTATTTCGTGGCTGATAGCCATGCGTGTATGTGTGTGTGCGCGGGAGAACAACTGGTTCAGACGCAGAAAGACCACCAAAAGCCTAGCCCAAGAAAGAATGGGAGAGGGGATGAGCCGAGAAACAGGTACACTACTTGCCAGTAGAACAGTACTCAACAGCACATCTGCGAAGGTGAGACCACTGGTGCCTTTATCCAGGGAGGCCGCCAGCGTGCCAGCAGTGCGGTGAAAGAGGACACGGCCAGTTGAACAATGCAACGACAGCCCAACACGCAGAGCTGCACAGGTTGACGGCGGTATCCCGCGCTCCCTACTGCTGCGGGTCTGTCGGGTGGTGCTGTAACTGTTTGAGCAGCTGGGTTGCAGCTGCATCACAACCGGAGAGCACCCCATCCACTGTGCCGAGCTGCCACCCGAGGTCCCCTGCTGCACTATCGCCGCCAGCGTTACTCGCATCCCCCGCTGAGAGCGCGCCGTCGTGGACCGAGAGCACAACGCCACGGGCCCTCCCCGCTGCTTCCATGATATGCGCCACCATCCGCTGGGCCATTTCAAGTCGCGAAACGCTGCTGCTGGCAGTTATGTGAATAGCATCACTGGCGCCGCGACACACGTCTCGCTCACCATCCCCACCACTGCCGAGGACCCCGAGCAACGCCACAGTGTGATGAAGAAGTCGTCGTAGCGCGTAGTGAGCGCTCTGCCACGCTGACCGGTTGCTGTCGGGCGCGGAATAGGCGCCACTTCCGTCGCTGCCTCGTTGCAACATCACTATACCATCCCCGTACTGAGGGGCATCGCGCGGTGCCGGGGCCGCCACGAAGAAGAGAGGGGCATGAACCAAGAAGGGAAGAGAGGAGACTATTGCTCGCACAGCCATGCAGCAAGAGGAGAGAACACCACATCAGAAACTACCGGCTCCAAGATTCAGCAGAGTTTTACTTTAATTCGTCTGGAAGGCTTCACGAAAAACACAACACGCCTTCAGAGAATCATTCGATTTTTTTCTTGTTTCCAAAAAGAAAAAATCGCGAGAGTTATTGACGTTTTTATGTTTTCTGCGTCCTGAGTGGTGTTCAATTTATTCCTGCGTGTGATATTTCCATTCCATCGCCCATGGAAGGCCGGCCCCCCTCTTCGGCAACCATTACCAGAGAATGCTGCGAGGGACGAAAAACCCAGGTGTGTATGTGGTGGGCGGGGGGGGGGACTCACTTCTCTGTTCTGGATGTTGTGGGTCACAGGGCAGAGTGTTAGCACCTCTTTACCTTTTTTTTCTGTTCCTTCAACTCTTGAGAAAAAAAACACACAA